TAAAACATCCACTTCAGTCGATGAGACGTTTGTCCATTCCTCTCTCAGGACGTCCTGTAGTTTGTCTCTGACTGCTGACAGGGCCGCCGTCACGTCCTCAAAGTAGCTCAGAGGACGGATGTAGATGCTGGATGAGTGTGTAGGTTCACTGAGGGCTGACAGTGAGGGGTAGCTGTGCAGAAACTGGTTGTGATCCTCTGTGTGAGACAGCAGCTTCAGCTCAGCGTCTCTCCTCTTCAGCTCAGAGATCTCCTGCTCCAGCTTCTCCTGAAGCTCTTTGACTCGACTCACTTCACTCTTCTGCTGGGATCTGACCTGCTGCTTCACATCAGAGCTTCTTTTCTCCATGAGACGGATCAGCTCAGTGAACATCTTCTCACTGTCCACCACTGCTTTATCAGCAGAGCAGTTGATGGCCTCCATCTCCTGCTGAAGCAGCTTCACCTCCTTCTCTGTGTCCTGGATTCTCTGCTGGATGTTTAGTCGACTCCCCTCCAGCTCTCTCTGCCTCTCAGTCCTCTCTGCTGCAGCTGACACTGTGTCGTGGCCTTTGTGTTCGTCCACAGGGCAGAGATAACAGATACACTGCTGATCAGTGCGGCAGAACAGCTTCATCACCTCGTGGTGACGAGAGCAGATGTTCTCCTGGAGCTTCTTGGAGGGCTCCACCAGCTTGTGTTTTTTTAATTGAGCTACGTCATAATGAGGCTGGAGGTGTTTCTCACAGTAAGATATAAGACACACGAGGCAGGACTTACAGGCTCTCAGTTTCCTCCCAGTGCAGACATCACAGGCCACATCTTCAGCTCCAGCATAGCAGAGATCAGCAGGAGCAGGTGGGGGTCCAGTCTTCTTCAGCTCCTCCACTAAAGCTGCTAACATGGTGCTTTTCAGCAGGACAGGCCTCGGTGTGAAGCTCTGCCTACACTGAGGGCAGCTGTGGATTAGCTCTCCATCCCAGTGGTGTTTAATACACTTCATGCAGTAGCTGTGTCCACAGGGAATAGTCACCGGATCCTTCAGTAGATCCAGACAGATCGGACAAGAGAATGTTTCCCGGTCCAGCTGAACTCCTTTCTGCGCCATTTCACCTCTCAGTAGCAGCGAGTGTCTGAGTTTCACTTCCTGAGAGCTGAAACGATGTGAGCTGTGATCTGAACAGCATGTGTGTGTGCAGTGAATGTGGCCTATCAGCTCTTGTTCTTTACCCACATGTTGGTTACACCCCTCCTCCTCAGTGTGGATCTGAAGGGGAGGAGCCAGGAAGTACAGAGTGGAGCTGGCTGTGTCTGAGAGCAGGAAGGAGAGGGACGGCTTATCAAACGCTGACTCATTCCAGGAGGAGGAGCAGACACTCTGACCTGTTTCCTCATTTACAAACGGAGCCTCGCTCACAACCTGCTCTACATTTGAAAACAGTCTTCAGCTGTAAAATATTTGTTTTAACTTCAGGCTTTTGTGGCACACGGCTCCACACTCATGGTGGCAGTGGTGTAAGAAGTACTCAGATATTCTACCAAAGTAAAAGTAGAAATACTACGGGGTAAAAATACTCTGTTACAAGTAGAAGTACAAAAGCATTGGTATCAAAATATACTTAAAGTACCAAAAGTAAAAGTACTCCTTATGCATTATGGCCCTTTTCAGAATCGTATATATATTGAGTTACTGGGTTACTATAATGATTATTGATGTGTTTTATCACAGTTAGTTAATGAAGAGCTGTTTTGAATAACTTGATGTCCTGCTGCTGGATATCTTATCCTATAAATATCTGTCAAAGTGTATTTAATAATTGATTTATATTTTGAATTATCTACTAATCTATATCTAACTAGTAAAAGCTGTGAAATGAATGCAATGGATTAAAAAGTACAATACTGTCTTCTAAAATGTAGTGCAGTATAAAGCAGCATACACTGAGACGTACTGGCATCAACCACTACTTACTACTTACTGTGCGTATTGTCCCATTTTATAATCATATATATTGAATTACTGGATTATTTCAGTTTTTATACATTCATGTGTTTTTTTCCATCCCTAATAAAGTGTAGGGGAAATGGAGACGGTAACACACAACAGTCAGGGTGAAAGTGAACACAAGTTTATTTATTTACACCAAAGAAAATGCCAACAAATGTTCTTTAAGTGAGGAGACAAAGAAGATTGTGCCAAATTAAATAAATGAATATAACAAAACTCAAACAAAAAGCCCTCACGATCTGTTGTAACAAGGAAACAAAACAACTACAGGGTGCAACAATCTACTAACCTAGTGTGTCTACACGGAGACGAAAACGAAAACGAACCAAATTCGATATCAAAAATGTCTTCTGTCCACACGGAATCAGCTCAAGAAACGTGTCCGTCCCATAGACCAGTGGTTCCCAAACTTTTTGTGCCCAAGGCACACCAAAGGACAAGTAAAAATCTCAAGGCACACCTATTGTGCAAAATAGCCCTTATAACACGTGTTATCACTCATATCATGTAAAATATCTGTAAATGTGCATAATTATTTACTAATGCCAAATAAAATGTGACAAAGACAACTATATTACTCATGAAATATTTATTAACGAAATATTTCAGAAATTAATTTGAAACTTTATCAAATTAGGCTTCATCAAAGCAGCAACACACTCATTTAAACCAGACAGGTCACAAAATTAAAAATTGTGGAGGATCAGGCTTTGGTGGTCGGCTCCCATCTCGGCGCACAGTTGGGAGAAGAGGCGAGATTTCAGGGGCCTTGATTTGATGTAATTCACCATCTGCACAGCCTGATTCAGCACCTCAGTCAACTCCGGGGGCATGGTTTTGGCAACTAATGCCTCTCTATGCAAAATGCAGTGGTTTGTCACGATATGTGGGTTTTGTGCTCTCACCTTAGCAATAAATCCTTTCACTCTCTCTTCATGCTTGCCGCACCATCTGTGCAAAGACTGAGGCACATATTCCAGGTCAGACTGTTCTCTTTTAAATAGTTATTAGTTACCCTGAATATTTCTTCTCCCGTAGTATGGCTTTCCATTTCTTTGCAAAAGAAAAACGTCTCTTTGATAGAGTCAGCATCAACATATCTGACGTTTGCCAGAAGTTGGGCAGCCCCACTTATGTCAGTAGATTCGTCTATTTGTAGGGAAAATCTGCCGCTCGCCTGCAGTTTCTCTGTCAAATGTTGCTCAATGTCTTCTGACATGTCGTCGATTCTTCTTTTGATTGTATTATCAGACGACGGCACTTTGGATAGCTCATTTGCGGCATCTGGACACCTACAATTTTTTTGCAAGCGGGGAGGATGAGTGTCTCCGCTATTGTGTGAGGTTTCTTCTGCTTTGCAATGAGCTCCGCTAGCATGTAACTAGCCTCCATTGCCTTTTCAGACACTTTCACACAATCCAACAAACGGTCTTGCTGCCTCTGGTTCAGATCCCGCGCTCTTTTGAAGTAGGCCAAGTTTCTCTGAACATGGAAGGGATGTTTGGTTTCCAAGTGCCTCTTCAGCTTGCTTGGAACCATGTTCGCATTAGCTAACTTCTCCCGACAGACGACGCACTCGGGCTGAAGATTGTTGACATCCCCGGTCCAACTGAAGCCATAAGACAGGTAACTTTCATGATACTGTCTGCTGACAGTTTTTTTCCTCTTTTCTTTCGGTGGTGGGTTGTCGGCAGTCTCTGCACTGGTGGTTGGTGGTTTGCTCCGCACAAGAAAGCGCTCCATTTTCCCTCTTGCGTGTTTCTCTGTTTTAATGTTGTCCTTCAGCCTTCGATGTGTCACGGTCTTATAATTCCCACCTGCAACTGCGTTAACAGCGAAATATGGGGTTCTGTGAGGATTTTTTTTTAAAGAATTGTTTTTAGGTATAGAGTTTGCCTCTGTATTATGAAATGAGTGCATACAAAGTACTGATATAGTAAATAAAAAAATAATTATTTTTGTGTAGTTGTATATTGCAATAATAACGTATGGTTGTCACAAAATCCCACGGCACACCCGGACTTGCCTCACGGCACACCAGTGTGCCGCGGCACACCGTTTGGGAACCACTGCCATAGACTGTATATATGAACCATTAGCCAATCAGCAACCAAGGTAACCCCCCCCACACCTTATCACCTGAGGCTGCAGCAACACAGAGACGAAAACAAACCGAATTCGATATCAAAAAAGTCTTCCATCCACACGAGACTGCTCGACCCGCTGGAGACGCTGTAGTACATATGCCGGGCCTGTAAGTGGCGCTGTACTTCCGCCACAAAATACACCAAAAGCAGCGAAGAAGACCCCCCCCCCCCCCCCCCCCCGAGCATGGTTGCCCTTCTGTTTATTATCCGGGTGGATTTAGCAACATGTAGTTCATGTAGTTCTCCATCTCACATTGTCGCTTGGGGCCCCAAGTTGGCCAGGGACGGCCCTGCAAATATGTGATATAGCTGAACAAACAAAGTGTGCAATCCAATGAATGTTAATTTAACTGGGTTTTGATAGATAACATATCTCTTTTTATTCTCTCAATAATTTCCATTCTTTTGTGCACTCAAATCAATATTAATCAAACTATTGTTCGTTTATACATTTTAAGAATGGCATTTATCGTTTTTGAGAATTAGTTCTTATTTTATTTTATTTACTTGGGTCTACAACAGATGATACAAATGTTTATGTCAGTAAATGTGTCTGCGATTATCGCTCCTCCTTTTTTAGGATTTATTTGATAAATAATAATAAAATTAAAAAAAATTAAAAACCAAACGAAACGTAACATCCTGTACGGTAGCCGGGTTGTCCAAAAAGTCACCCGACATGAACACGGAGGGAAATTCTCAGTAGCTTCATTGTATTTTCTTAATTTTTTAATAATAACCACAACATTTCATCACCTTGTGGATGACTTGGTGCCTGATTGATTTGATAAATAATAATACAATTAAACAAAACAAAAAAACGAACGAAACGTAACTTCCGGTACGGTAGCCGGGTTGTCCAAAAAGTCACCCGACATGAACACGGAGCGAATTTCACAGTAGCTTCATTCTCTATTCTTTATCTGTTTTGAATTGAACCACAACATTGCATCACCTTGTGGATGACTTGGGGACTCGTAGCGGAATAGAGGACCATCAGACAGGCGGTTTGTTGGTGATAAGATGGGTGGAAAGAAGAAGAAATCGGCAGCGGGTGTAGCTGCTCCTTTAGCCCCGGCAGCAGCAGCCTCAGCCGGCAGGAGTGAAGCCACTGCGGCGGAGAAACAAGGAGCCAGCAACAAACCTGCGAAACCTATCAAAGAGAACAAATCAAAAGGTGATATTACATGTGTGTTGTCATTGTCATTGATTTGAGCAGTATTACAAGCTGAAAATGTGTTGATATTGTCCTGTTTAAGGTTGTAGCTTGAGTTTAAAGATGTCCATACTGTTGTGGTAAACCCTGTCTGTATGCTGTTACTCTATAAAGATTCAATATTCAAGATTCAAGGCTTTTATTGCCATGTGTACATAGCTACAGTATTCATATATCAATGAAAATCTTAGGTCACAGGCTCCTCCAACAGTGCACCACAATAAACAAGTAGATACAAACAAAATAGAATAGAAATAGTGCAATGCTGATGTTATTAAAGCCTAATGATTGCATTTAGCCAGAGGTGGAAGAAGTACTCAGATTAGTTTTGTCTTGCATCTGAGAAGTATCAATAGCTACACATGTTGTGATGATATGATCAATACTCAATACAATACAATACAATACAATATACAGTAGCTTTGTTTGTTAATAAGCACTTTACAACCTCAAGACCTAAGTGCTGTACAGAGAAATAAATACATAAAATACAAAAGTCCCACAGGTCAGCTCAAAAACCATCAAATATAAATTTAAAAGGCAAATACAGGCTGTTATGGAGCTTATATGAGTCTATACTGTTGTGTCCCTTCTGACGTTATAATGCTTGTTTATAGGAGGCTGTGGCTCAGTGGGATAGTTTGAATCAGGGGGTAGCAATTTCGAGTCCCACTGCAGTCAGCATGTCGTTGTGTCCCTGAGACACTTCACCCCAAATTGCTCCTGTGGGGATTGCCCACAGTACTGAATGTATCTAAGTCGCTTTGGATAAAAGCGTCTAACAAGTGACATGTAATAGTCTAATCACTATACTTAGCCAAATAACAGTACATGTGTATCTCCAAAGTGTCTGTCAAACCCTGAGGAGCTTTACAAAAAACAACACCATACAATACAAGTGCAAAGATAGCACTTTTCTTTCAAACATCGTCCCTAAAAAATGCAAGTGGCCAGATCTGGAGATAAAACGACATGTAGAGAACAAATCAAAAGGTGATATAACCTCGGTTTTGTCGTGCCTTTGAGAGGTATCAATTGCTCCAAATGTGGTGATGATATGATCATTTTTCAGGCTGTTATGGAGCTTAAAGGTCATTGTCCATACTGTTGATAAAGCTGTTGTTATTATAGCCTAATAATACATGTTTAAACCTAATATTCCCTTTAACAAAGCACAACACCAGTCAATACAGGGCAAATGTTCCAGGTCATCATTAACATGCATGGTTTTTTATCTGACACACAATGTCTGCTTTTTATTCCCTGCAGCTCCAAAGACCTACAGCCTCGCTAACACGGCCCAGGTGGACACAGGTGGAGTCGCGGACAAATCCATTCTTAAAGTAAGTTGTATTTTTAGTTTGTAAACCTCACTGTTTATTTTGTCTGTGTCTCTGTATGTCAAGCTCATGTTGCCGCTGTAACCTGTTGTTGACAAGCCTATAACCTGCTAAAATGTAATCATGTGACAGTGGATACTTTCTTTTCTCATGTATATTATGATGTACTTAACTAAATAATGACAGCTTTGCTTTCAAACGCTTCCACATGACAAATGAAATCACTTTGCTGTGTATGATTCAGAACAGCACGGTTCATTTTTAACATTAGTTTTCTGCAGTCCAAATTATAGTTAAGCTTTTAAACATTATTGTTCTGTAGCGCAAATAAGCTACCAAGCCACAGCTAGGCTCTGGTTTTAATGCATTTGAACATATTTTGATTTATTTCATTTACTTATGAGGCTAATGACTATGATCACATGTTATATAAGTAGAATTTGTGATTACAGTTTGATTTGGAAATGTCACATTTTTAAAGTAAAGTTCTCGATGTTCCCATTATTTCCACATTAATTATGAAACATTTCCCAAATTGGGATCAATAAAGTACTTCTATCTCTCTCTCTCTCTCTCTCTCTCTCTCTCTCTCTCTCTCTCTCTATCTATCTATCTATCTATCTATCTAATCTTATCTTATCTAATCTATCTCTCTATCTCTCATCTCTCTCTCTATCTCTACTCCTATCTTCTCTATCTATCTATCTATCTACTATCTATCTATCTATCTAGCTATCTATCTCTCTAAATCTCTCTCTCTATCTATCTATCTATCTATCTATTCTATCTTCTATCTATCTAATATATCTATCTCTACGCTTCTCTTCTCAATCTCTCTCTCTCTCTATCCCACCATCCATCCATCCCATCCCGCCCCCCTCCACCTTCCCCCCCCCCCCCCCCCTCTCACTCTCTCTCTCTCTCTCTCTCTCTCTCTCTCTCTCTCTCTCTCTCTCTCTCTCTCACACAAACAATAACAAAATAATGTCACACAGCATACACACTTAAGTACAACACATGATCATTAAAATAAAATAGGACGGGTTCCAAAAATGCACCCAGCCTTTTAACAGAATGCTTAATATTCATCTGAACAAAAATATATAGCATCTTCCATATTTTGTAGTGTATGAAAGACTCTGAATAAGCATTGTTAGCGGACTACTTGACTACTTTGAGTAAATTAATTACACAGCATTTCTATAGGAAGGTTTCTGTCCTAAGTTTTTTTAATCACTATATGCAAATTTTCACTCCAGTCCAATATTAATTCAGCTGCAGATCTAATCCATGTTGTCCAGTATTCATAATGTTGTAATAATGAAGCGTATTTTCCCCTTCTAACACAGGTAGTTATCCAACCAGACCTGGAGAAGAAGATCATCAAACTGATCAATGACTTCAGGGAGGAGAACGGAGACAAAGGGCCGGTGTCGGGACGACTGACCAACAAGAAGTTACTGGTAAATAAAAACATCCCTCTGACTCTGACACGGTTATATAGACATTTATTTATTAGGATAAACCCCTTGAGATGCACCATATCGTTTTCAAGGGGGTCCCGACAAAAGCAACTTCTTACAGACATACATGAACAAAATAACAGAAAGCAAAGCATGACAAACCACGTGCAGTCTGTTAAGTCAAATTCATGAAGTAATATATACAATCATTACAATTTACCGGCCCGTTGTGACGAGAAGAGAGCTGAGCCAGAAGGCAAAGCTCTCTGTCTACCGGGCCATTTTCGTTCCTACCCTCACCTATGGTCATGAAGGATGAGTCATGACCGAAAGAACGAGATCGCGGATACAAGCGGCCGAGATGGGTTTTCTCCGCAGGGTGTCTGGCGTCTCCCTTAGGGATAAGGTGAGAAGTTCAGTCATCAGGGAGGGACTCGGAATTGAACCGCTTCTCCTTCGCGGCGCAATTAGCCAGTTGAGGTGGTTCGGGCACCTAGTAAGGATGCCACCTGGGCAGCGTTTCCGCCAGGGGGGCGTCTTGCCTAATAATTCGAGACAAGATGGAGAGTTTTTATCGCTTGAAATAACGAAAAGGAAAAAGGACATCCCTCTGTTGGAGGGGCAAAGGAGTCTGGTGGGATTCTTTTCGGAGTATTGAAGATCGTTTCCCCGACATCGGCGGTGCCTGCTACCGGACAACACGGAACGTGCGCGATTTGGACGCGATGAGCGGTGCTAGTGGAGCACGCGCGTGAGCTGCGAGCACCAGAGCCTCGCAGCGGCGAAACTGAGGCTCCGTGGTAAACTGTGGTAACATGAAGAGCCGTTTGGGAGCCGAAACAGCCGGCGCTTTAAAAAGACAGTATCTATAAGGGAAGGCTCAAGTCAAAATCCCACCTGGGCGCCCTAGGGAGGTGTTCCAGGCACGTCCAGCTGGGAGGAGACCGAGGGGTACACCTAGGACCAGGTGGAGGGATTATATCTCTTCGCTGGCCTGGGAGCGCCTTGGGATCCCCCAGTCAGAGCTGGTTGATGAGGGGAAAGGAACGTTTGGGGCTCTCTGCTGGAACTGCTACCTCCGCCACCCGACCACGGATAAGCGGGAGAAGATGGATGGATGGACAATTTGATAGTGTCTAATATATCAGTTTCATCAAGAGCAGAGCAGCTGGAAGTGAGATGATAATGCTGAAACATACCCAATGATGACAGGGATCTAATAGCAGCAAGTCAAGTGTTCCACTCTGTTGGGGCTTTGAACATGAACGCTCTTCTGACAATGCAGGGGGGACAGAGAAATAAATCTGGACAGAGTGTCTAACTTGATAATTTGACGAGTAAGGTACAAAATGCTGCTTTAAATAAGGGGGATAGTTAAAGTAAATGCATTTATGTGGGAGGCGTGTGGCGCAGTGGGTTAGTGCACTGGTGTTCGGATCAGGGGAGCACAGGTTCAAACCCCACTGCAGTCAGCATGTCGTTGTGTCCCTGAGACACTTCACCCCAAAGTGCTCCTGTGGGGATTGCCCACAGTATTGAGTATGTAAGCTTTGGATAAAAGCGTCTAACAAGTGACATGTAATTTAAATATAAGTGGAAGCCAATGCGTGTCTTCTTACATTTAATGAAGGCCATTCAAGTCTGTTATACATTGTGCAGTGATGTGTACGAAAAGGGCAACCAAGAACAAATCTGCATAGTCTGTTGTAGGCTGTGTTAAGTGGAGCAAGATCTGATGTATGTGCATTTTGGTAGAAACATCACAATAGTCCATAATCAGAAGTATAAGTTGAGACGCAATTCTCTTACGGACACTGAGCGTAAAACAATTGCGTAGGACAGTCGATTCCGTAATTGACTTTTTGTAATACATGATTTATATGTAATTGAAATGAAAGTGATTTAAATGTTGTGTTCATGTTGTTTTGTTTGTGTTTACAGGATCTGTACACGGCTCTGCAGAAGTTCAGCTTTAAGAGGGAACACATCGAGGAGTCGATGAAGAGCAGCGTTCTGTACGGAGGAGATCTGCACTCTGCACTCGACTGGCTCTGCCTTAACCTCAAAGACGGTAACAGAGAAATAGATGGATAGATAGATATCATGAAGGCTTCTCATTTCTCTAACTCCCTTCCTCGACTCCTATCCTCGACTCCCCTCCTCGACTCCTATCCTCGTGTCTTAGTCCCGCCCACAGGAGATGCGAGCGGAGGAGCCGAGGAGGGGAACCGAGGAGAGAGGAGAGGAAGCAGCAGGCGGTTAGAGAAATGAGAACTCCTCTCCTCTGAGCGGTCATTTTAAAGAGACGTCCATTAATGATGACAGGAGGCACAGCAGCCCTCTGTCTGATGGACAGATGTGTTCATGACGACTTATATATTTACTTTGAATTCATTCACAGTGCGGTATAATGAGACAATAACAGGCTACAGATGCGGACATACACACACACACACACACACACACACACACACACACACACACACACACACACACACACACACACACACACACACACACACACACACACACACACACACACACACACACACACACACACAATTCAGAATCAAACAAGTATGAGAGCACTCTCATAACGTAACACTATCAGAGACTGGATATATCCCCCCCCTCTCTCTGGTCGTCGCTGAAATGGGGAATTTAAATTAAGCGGCAAAAGTTTTATTTACAATTATTGAAGCATAGAACACCAAACCAACTGAGACCTGTCTGTCTGCCGCATCCACACACACACACACACACACACACACACACACACACACACACACACACACACACACACACACACACACACACACACACACCATTTTGAGATTTTGAGAAAAGGTCAGAATTTTGAGAAAATGACATAATTTTGACATTTTGAGAAAAAATACAGAATTTTGAGATTTTGAGGAAAAATACAGAATTTTGAGATTTTTAGGAAAAATACAGAATTTTGAGATTTTTAGGAAAAATACAGAATTTTGAGATTTTTAGGAAAAGTCAGAATTTTGAGAAAAAGTCAGAATTTTGAGATTTTCCGGAGAGAAAAAAACATTTTGAGAAAAAAAGTCAGTATTTTGTACATGAAACGATTTATGATTACCTAGAAGAACCGGTATTCCTCCATCTTGTGACTGTGTAACTCCCTCTCTTGGATATCAGCATGTGAAGGACACTGTTCAGGAACTAGTTGATGCTCTGGATGTGATGACTACTTCCATTCTGGAGAGGATCAGAAATACATGGATCCTGAGATTGAAGATCAAGCCGGGGACCAGGGATATTTTTCTAACAATATCTCTGAATCTACCGGGTGTTTTCCAGATGAGCTTCCGGAAGGTTTCACCCAGCAGATGCAGGAGGAGAGTCAGAAGAGCAGCCGACCCAAGTTCCAGCCCCCTGCTCCGGAGATACCTGCCCCCCCGAGCCCCAAAGCCCCCAGCATCGCACCCAGAGAGACCCCCAAGGTGTGTGTGTGTGTGTGACAAAATTAGAAAAGTGCCGGTCAAAGGTCTTCTATGTTATTTATTGAGCTTTGAAACAAATTGATATGATTCGATATTACACAAACTAATTATAGTAGATTAATTAACTATTCAAACGTGTACAGTAATTTACAATAACACGGGAATAATAAACGGAGCGCTCTCCCCCTCTCCTGACAACACGCCAGTATCATGCAGCTCGCGGATCCAGTAATGAGTGACCCGACAGTAAAACTAAACATATCTATAACTAGTTTAGGTAGTTTGAGAGGTAATTAAAATAGCTACGTGTGATATTCTAACCTGAAGTGTGTGTGTGTGTGTGTGTGTGTGTGTGTGTGTGTGTGTGTGTGTGTGTGTGTGTGTGTGTGTGTGGGTGTGTGGGTGTGTGGGTGTGTGGGTGGGTGGGATGTAAGCTAAGCTATGTCGTGTCTTGTAACTATGTTGTTTAAAAGAATGAAAAAATAACAAACATATTGTTCTTAACGTTGTGTCTTTCAGGCCTCAGAGAAAGATGAAGCCGCCTGCATGAAGGACTGGATCTTAAGATATGCAGAGCAGAGCAGTGAGGAAGAGGAGGAAGAGGAAGATGAAGCAGGGAAGAAGCCACGCAACCCTGAACTGGAGGAGAAGTTTGACCCAGTAAGTACAAAAATACATAGGTAATAAATAGGTGGTGGTGAGGAGTTCGACGCTCGTGAACTGTCAACAGGAGGGCGGGGGGAGCCTCGCTGCGGGGAAGCAGTGTGTGGACCCGTCAGCGCAACTTACATGATGCCGAATTTAACAAACACATTTAAATAATTGGTTTGAACGGCATAATAATAAGGACGATCGTCCGTTCTGTGATTCTCCAGAACACACAGATGGCCGGTCCGCCCCTTTGTAGCATATTATTTCAATGAGAGATGAGCAGATCGCCACTGGGCTTTCAACTAAAGGCACAGCCACGCAGCTCCTTATGGGTACTGCAATTTGTGAAGTGCTTTCCTCCGTGGTGAAACGATCAGCCCTGCACCATGGAGGAAAGCGGCAGAAAGTCACCTGGAGTTAAAGAGAGCGGGGCTGCGCTGCGTGCATGGCTTCCTTCTGCAGGTAACGGGGAGACGCGCTCTGGCGGCGGTCTCGTTCAGGATCCGAAAATCAAATTTAAATATTTTGCACACTTATTCCACTTATTCCTAGTGTGCCACTGGTTACGGTGCCAGGGGTTGCCGACCCCTGCTCTATGCTAAGCTAAGCTAACTGTCCACTGGATGCATCTTCTTGCAGCTTTGTATGAAGTCGGGATAGTGTAATATATTTTGAACAGCTTACTCACCATTCTTGATAGTTGATCATTTTTGACTTTTTTCTCACAATTGAACTTTTCTTGGAATTTTGAAATGTTATTTAGACTTCGATTTTTTTCACAAAATTTGACTTTTTCCTCAAAATTTCACTTTTTTTTAAGAAATTGATTTTTTTTCTCAAAATTTCACTTATTTCTCAAATTTCGTCTTTTTCTCTCAAAATTTTGATTTATTTCTCAACATTTGACTTTTTCTTCAAAATGTTTTTAACTTGATTATTTATTTATTTATTTATTGTGATACTATGAACTATTTATCGTGTAAACTGGAATGATCCACATCCAGGCTCCCGGGTGTATCTGTGTGTTTTCTTCCTGTATGTTCCTACCTGTGTACATGACATAAACTGCTCATAATCAATTGTCCCTTGCAGGATTAATAAAGTTGTCGATTGATTGATTGATTGATTGATTGATTGATTGATTGATGCATGTTGTTTCTTTCTGTGCAGAATGACCGGTATTTGCTCCTCACGGCTCAACTGTACGACGCCAGAGACATGGCTGCTGTTGCTAAAACAAAAGGAGACAAGACAGGTCAAAGGTCGGCTCAGGACCGGATCCGCATCATCCTGCAAGGTCAGACAGCTCCTCTAACTGAGTCCTGCACTGCAAAAACTCAAAGTCTTGCCAAGCATATTGGTCTGATGCAGTCAGAATATGTATCTACACTTGATATGAGACCAGAGATGGCAAAAGTACACACATCCTTTACTCAAGTAGAAGTACAGATACTCGTGTTTAAAAATACTCTGGCTTTATACCCCAAATCAGCACTTTTGAAACAGGAAGTGAAATAGAGGGATATGAGGCATGGCTAGAATGGGTGATCTGTTTGGTATTTTGAGCAAAACACTTCATAGACATGTTTTTAATATATTTTGTATATATCTGAGACCTATGCTATTGCCTAAAAATAGCATGATAGGTGACCTTTAAGACATTTCTATGACTCGTGTTAAACTCATATATTTCCTGTGTTGTAGAGATGAAGCAGCTGGAGCCCCACCCCATGTTCAATCCGGCTCTAAAGGTGGTGGACGCGCCGCAGAAGGAAAAGAAAACACTTCCTGTCACCGAGGATCTCGCCTTCAGCGTATTCGAACAAACGGAGAAAGCCCCTCCTAAAGAGAAAGGTTTGCAACTCAAACATTAACTTTCTTCATTCATTAAGTGACTTTAACGATGAACTTTGTAATTGTTCTACAAGATATTGTACATATAAAACACAACATACTGTTTGAATTGGATTTTAATATACTACATTATCAAAATAAGGATAGGCAAGGCAAGGTACGTTTATTTATATAGCACCTTTCAACATAAGGTAATTCGTGCTTTACAAAAATGGAAATCATAAGGAAATAGTGCAGCAGAAACACATTTACAATGGCATTTAAAAACAGTCATTAAAAGCTAATATATATACGAATGTAGGGCTCTTTGTGGAGCCATTTTTAAAAACTACAATTTTAAAGCCTGATGTAATGAAATGCAGGATATTTTCTTTGTGTTTTTACACGTGCTTTATGACCTTTGCATTAATTGTTAAAGGTCCCATGTCATGCTTTTCTGGTTATTACCTGTCCCCTTGTGTGTTATGTAGCTTCTGCATGTAAACGGTCTGCAGAGTCTCAAACCCTCAAAGTACACCCTGTAGCGAGTAAAACTCTAACACAGAAAAGACCTGTCTATGCTGCCCCAGAACGCCTCGTTGGACATTTCTCTTTTTCCATTGTTTACTTCTTGGGTATAGTGACGTAAGGTAACGGCTCCGCAGATTGGTTCAAATTGACCAATCCGCGGAGCCGTTACGTTTGGACCAATCCGCGGACTTCCTCACACACACACACTCGGCGGGACGTTGCGAGGCTCGCTGCTGTGAGGAGCGGGACACTGTGAGCTGGCTCACTGGTGTGGGGTCGGCAAGACAGCGAGACACCGCGGAACTCAGCCTGGGCACACACACAAACTCCCAGCCAGGCTGCGGGTGTGTGTGTGTTTCGGGCTGGGTTTCGCTGACGGCCACTGGGTTCACAGGGAGGGGGGGGGGGGGCAGGAGCTCCAACAAGCCGTTTAGGACAGAGAGTGAATACACATACTATACAGAGATGCTGTATGAGAAACCAATGTGAGTTTGGAAAATCCGGTGCCTTGCTCAAGGGCAGGAGGTGAACTGGGACCTCTCCAAGTAGCAGTCCACTGTCCATATTTTAGTTCTGGTCGGGGACTTGAACCGGCGATCCTACAGCTCCCAGTCCAAGCCCCTACCGACTGAGCCACTGCAGGTTGATGGCATTAAAAGATAACATGCAAAAGTATAAATGCACAGAATTTGTGATATTGGATAATTCAGTGTACCTGGTTTATTCTTGTTGTTACTAGGGGGGAAAGTCTTCACACTTTTAGGCTGTGTTCTAAGTTTGAGTGCCAAAAATAAACGAGGCTTTGGGATACATTACTTTTTTAAAACCAACATTTAATCTCACACTTTTTGCTGATCATTTCGTCACACTTTCCTTTCTGTTTACCAGCTCCAGTTGTGAAGAAGAACGAGCCGAAGGACATCCGTGACTTTGACTACACGGCTCGCAGCTGGACGGGGAAATCCCCCAAACAGTTCCTCATCGACTGGGTCCGGAAGAACCTCCCCAAGAGCCCGGCACCCGCCTTCCACAAGGTGCCTGCTGGGAAATACTGGAGGTCCAAGTGAGTGTGTGTGTGTGTGTGTGTGTGTTGGTGTGTTTTATTCCTATACACATGGACATTTTGGTGCGTAAAAATCCACTTCAATTATCAGCGCTCACGACATAAAGGGATGGAAATTGACATATACATGTACTCAAGTTAGGACTTAGATATACAACGTGTGTGTGTGTGTGTGTGTGTGTGTGTGTGTGTGTGTGTGTGTGTGTGTGTGTGTGTGTGTGTGTGTGTGTGTGTGTGTGTGTGTGTGTGTGTGTGTGTGTGTGTGTGTGTGTGTGTGTGTGTGTGTGTGTGTGTGTGTGTGTGTGTGTGTGTGTGTGTGTGTGTGTGTGTGTGTGTGTGTGTGTGTGTGTGAGATCAGCTCTCACGACATGGAAATGGACTTATATATTTACTCAAGTTAGGACTTAGATATACAACGTTTAAGGTATTTGTTCTTTCCTTGCGTTTTTAATAATTTGTTTACAGTTTTTGTTTTCTACTCCGCTACATTTCAATGGGAATTTTTGCTTTTTTACCCTAACCCCCACACAAATCTTATAAAGGGGTATACAATATAAGGTTTTGTTACAGATTAATTGTCCAATTTGTAGATACAAGAACAGCTGAAACAATGAGTTGATTGACAGGAAATTAATTGTCATATTAATAACGCCATTTCTCAATATTTTCTACATTTCTAAAATAAAATGGATCGATTAAATATGATATTTGATCCTTTAATTGATGAATTCCTTATAAAAGTAAAGAACATTTTCTGTACCCTTGTAAAATAATCATTATTTAGTGCTATATATATATTGAAGTATAACATATCCTGCAGTCGTGATATGTTGTGTTATTGAAGTCAAAGTCAACCCTATTTGACCCTATCAGTTCAGTTTGTGTACAGACAGAGAGACGAAATACCGTTTCCCACAATCCAGAATACAAAAATACAAATATGTATATCCTATATATATATACACAATCAACAGACACATTTATACATATGCAAACATTCATACATAAATAAAAGCACAACAATCAATATAAACAAAATAACAGTCACTTCAATATCTTTGAGAATGTGCATTAGTGCAAGACTGTCCATAGCAGCGTGAAGAGTGTCTGGTGCTGGATGTGAGTGTGTGAGGGGTGTTAAAGTCCAGTGGGGGCATAATAATGAAAATCATTTTAAAGCTTAATGTTTAAAACCTATGTCCAACTAGATTTAGAAATATGTTGTATTGATTTCTCTCTCTCAGGGTGCGTGTTCAGAGGACGGAGGACATTCTTGAAGTTTGTCCCACGATCCTGACGGAGGACAGCATGCAGGCTCAACATCTGGCCGCCACTCTGGCTCTCTACACCATGGTGAAGGGACAGGTAATACACAGGTGTACAGTACGACTCACTGAACACTCATTTTATACCATCAGATGCTTCTTAAAGTGGACCTATCATGGTATATTTAAATTATATATTGTAGGGCCATACCTATATAAGGTATATTTATACTTTTCTGGTTTCAAAATACCAAACAGATCATGCATTTTAGCCATGCCTCATTTCGCTCAATTTGCACTTTTTTTAGCTCTGCTCTGCAAGGTCTGATTCTGTGAGAACAGCACCACCTACAGGCCTGGCATATGTACTACAGCGTCTCCAGCGCTTTCGAGCGGCAATGGCCGTGGCTGTCTCCTCCTGATTGGTGGAGTTGGCCCAATAGCCGTAGCGCCACCGTCCTGACGTCAGGACAGTGTTCAAATCTGGATCAGTTTTTATCAGATCCGTTGCAGCCCCTTTTTTAGAGATTTGGGTATGGAGGAAAATAGAGAGGGTTGTGTTTTCTGACACTTGGTGAGTTCTCTGGAACACCAGGGACACATATTCATGTTAAAAGACGTACAAAAGTGCATTTTGCATGATAGGTCCCCTTTAAATTAAGACTGTAGTAAAAAGTACATTTTCTTATCTGATGAAGTTTAGTCGTCTCATTAAGACACTTTTTGAACTCACCAGTGGGGTATTTAATGACGTATTTTATGTTAACCACAGACCTTATTTCAGGATAACCAAAAACACATTCAGGAAACCATTGAATTCCCAGCTTTAAGGACTCATTCCTTTGCTGTTTTTTTTTTAACATCAGTTAAAAGTATACTTCGGGACAATGGTGGATTTAGCATACAATACATCAAAGAAACATACATAGCACAACCCTCTAGTTAAGCTAGACCAGTGTTTCTCAAACGTTTTCATCACAAGGACACTTAACCAATAAAAAAACACTCGCGGACCACCTAACTCCACAAATATCCAAAATCACATCGTTTTTCTAGAACAGATTACAAATCGCCTGAAGATGGTACAAACAAGTGGCAACATGTGTGATGAAGGTGTTGCGCTGGGCTATATCATGCAATTGAAAGTGAAACTTAAGCTCGCTCCATTGCGGAGATATTCCCGCGAGAGTGCGGAAAACTTAAATTGATTTATTTATTTCAAATGTGAAATGCTACCAATATACTCACGGACCACTAGGGGGCGCTCACGGACCACCAGTGGTACGCGGACCACACTTTGAGAAGCACTGAGCTAGATGGTTGTGCTCAGATATTGTACTTGAGTAAAAGTAGAAGTACTCAGATCTGGTACTTGAGTAAAAGTAGAAGTACTCAGATCTTGTACTTGAGTAAAAGTAGAAAGTACTCAGATCTTGTACTTGAGTAAAAGTAGAAGTACTCAGATCTTATACTTGAGTAAAAGTAGAAGTACTCAGATCTTGTACTTGAGTAAAAGTAGAAGTACTCAGATCTTCTACTTGAGTAAAAGTAGAAGTACTCAGATCAGGTACTTGAGTAAAAGTAGAAGTACTCAGATCTTGTACTTGAGTAAAAGTAGAAGTACTCAGATCTTGTACTTGAGTAAAAGTAGAAGTACTCAGATCTTGTACTTGAGTAAAAGTAGAAGTACTCAGATCAGGTACTTGAGTAAAAGTAGAAGTACTCAGATCTTATACTTGAGTAAAAGTAGAAGTACTCAGATCTTGTACTTGAGTAAAAGTAGAAGTACTCAGATCTTCTACTTGAGTAAAAGTAGAAGTACTCAGATCTTATACTTGAGTAAAAGTAGAAGTACTCAGATCTTGTACTTGAGTAAAAGTAGAAGTACTCAGATCTTGTACTTGAGTAAAAGTAGAAGTACCAGAGTGTAGGAATACTCTGTTACAGTAAAAGTCCTGCATTCAAAATGTTCCTCAAGTGAAAGTAGAAAAGTATTCTCATCAAAATATAGTGAAAGTAGCGACAGTAAAAGTAGTCATTGTGCAGATTGGTCCATTTCAGAATAATATATATGATATGTTTTATAATGATTGATCATGAAAGTGTTCTCAAAGCTGGTAAAGGTGCAGCTAGTCTGAATGACTTTGTATACTGCAGGGTAGCTTGAGGATTTACTCCAGGTGGAATATCCGTTGCTGCTTTCTAACCCACGTGTCCCTCTTGAATCCAGTCTGTGCACCAGCTCCTCCCCCCCACCTACAGAGACGTGTGGTTGGAGTGGAGAGACAGCGAGCAGCAGAAACAGGAAGAGAGTCGAACCGCCGCCAACAAACCCAGAGACCAGTTCATCTCCCGCCTGCTGACCCGCCTCAAGCAGCAGCAGAACCAGGACCAGGGGCCCGAGGCTGGGTCTGAGGGCCCGTCGGGGGGGGGAGGAGCAGGGGAGGAAGAGCCGGAGGAGTCCTGGGAGAACCTGGCAGGACTGGATATGGAGGACGGAGGAGGAGGAGGAGGAGGAGGAAGAGGAGAGGTGGAGGATAAGAGCGAGAAGAGAGGGAGGAAGGAAGGAGCTCTGGAGGCGGCGAGGGAGCTTTTGATGAAGCTGAGGAAGTCTCCACTGGCACAGAAACTGAAGGTAAACATACGTGTGTTGTCTTCTCCTGAATTCTGTACGTCTCTTGTTTGTTTTTGATGGCACCTTAAAAGAAGGAGTAGCTCTACTCATCTCTTTGTACCTGTATACTGACCATAAATGATTCTATTCTATTTAATTTAACTTATTAAAGAGCTTTTTAAGAGGCCTTATTCTGCTTTTTGGGGTTTCCCTTTCCTATAGTGTGTTATATAGGTTTGTGTGCATGTAAATGGTCTGCAGAGGCTAAAATCCCCCTATTGGCTAGCGCTCCAACACATTGTAGGTGATAGGATAAGGAGGTGGGATATCTCTAAGTGGTTGACCAATCACAACAGAGCCGGCCAGCTAACCAATCAGAGCGGACTGGGCTCTGGTTTCAAACAGAGGGTGAAAAGAGGTGCTGCTCAGAGATGGCAAAAGTACACACATCCTTTCCTCAAGTAGAAGTACAGATACTCGTGTTTAAAAATACTCTGGTGAAAGTACCTGACCTCCCTTTATATTAATAGAACAATAATGTCATTGTTAGCTAATGAATGTTTCCATGCTGAACAACGGCAACATGACAACGTTTTCATTGGTCCCTCTTCTTTAGAGAAGACCAGGAAATGATGGATACACGGATCGTGTTCAAATCAATAGGCACGCAATGACTCTAAATAATAATGATCACGCCACCAAACACACATTCAAACTAAAGGAACCAGCCTGTTTGGAAAATGTGAGAAGTAGAAAGTACAGGTATTTGAGTTCAACATGTAAGAAGTAGAAAGTACAGGTATTTGGGTTCAACATGTAAGAAGTAGAAAGTACAGGTATTTGGGTTCAACATGTAAGAAGTAGAAAGTACAGGTATTTGTGTTCAACATGTAAGAAGTAGAAAGTACAGGTATTTGTGTTCAACATGTAAGAAGTAGAAAGTACAGGTATTTGGGTTCAACATGTAAGAAGTAGAAAGTACAGGTATTTGTGTTCAACATGTAAGAAGTAGAAAGTACAGGTATTTGTGTTCAACATGTAAGAAGTAGAAAGTACAGGTATTTGAGTTCAAAATGTAAGAAGTAGAAAGTACAGGTATTTGAGTTCAAAATGTAAGAAGTAGAAAGTACAGGTATTTGGGTTCAACATGTAAGAAGTAGAAAGTACAGGTATTTGAGTTCAAAATGTAAGAAGTAGAAAGTACAGGTATTTGAGTTCAAAATGTAAGAAGTAGAAAGTACAGGTATTTGTGTTCAACATGTAAGAAGTAGAAAGTACAGGTATTTGAGTTCAAAATGTAAGAAGTAGAAAGTACAGGTATTTGAGTTCAAAATGTAAGAAGTAGAAAGTATACAGGTATTTGGGTTCAACATGTAAGAAGTAGAAAGTACAGGTATTTGGGTTCAACATGTAAGAAGTAGAAAGTACAGGTATTTGTGTTCAAAGTGTAACAAGTAGAAAGTACAGGTATTTGTGTTCAACATGTAAGAAGTCAAAGTAAAAAGTCGTCAGAAAAATAAGTAGTGGAGTGAAGTACTGATACCAGAAGAATGTACTTAAGTACAGAAACAAAGTATTTGTACTCCACTACTTCCCACCTCTGATGAACCCAGAGAAAATGATCTGAAATGTAAAACATGCCTGAACTAAACACATGTAATTTATTTAATGTGTTTTCAGTTGGAGAGAGAGCAGCTTCCTGTGTTCCAGCACCGGCACCGCGTCCTGGAGGCTCTGCAGCGCCACCCGGTGGTGGTGGTGGCCGGAGAGACAGGAAGTGGGAAGAGCACTCAGATCCCTCAGTTCCTATTGGAGGAGCTTCTGATTGGCTGCCCGGCGGCTCGACCCGTCAACATCGTGGTGACGCAGCCGCGCAGGATCTCTGCCATGAGCCTCGCCTGCAGGGTCAACCAGGAGCAGGGCTGTGACGACGCGCCGGGGTCAAAGGTCAGGAGGGGGTTATTTAACTAAACTTAAACTAAATTAACTAATGTGCATTTAAAAAAGAGGAATAGTTTCGGCGAAAACTAAAAGGTACCATGGGGTCATAGAAAACTATTATGTGGCCCTAATCCTGTTCTGAAGTACTCAGATCTTGTACTTGAGTAAAAGTAGAAGTACTCAGATATTGTACTTGAGTAAAGTAGAAGTACTCAGATATTGTACTTGAGTAAAGTAGAAGTACTCAGATCTTGTACTTGAGTAAAAGTAGAAGTACCCAGATCATGTACTTGAGTAAAAGTAGAAGTACTCAGATCTTGTACTTGAGTTAAAGTAGAAGTACTCAGATCTTGTACTTGAGTAAAAGTAGAAGTACTCAGATCATGTACTTGAGTAAAAGTAGAAGTACTCAGATCTTGTACTTGAGTAAAAGTAGAAGTACTCAGATCTTGTACTTGAGTAAAAGTAGAAGTACTCAGATCTTGTACTTGAGTAAAAGTAGAAGTACTCAGATCTTGTACTTGAGTAAAAGTAGAAGTACTCAGATCTTGTACTTGAGTAAAAGTAGAAGTACTCAGATCTTGTACTTGAGTAAAAGTAGAAGTACTCAGATCATGTACTTGAGTAAAAGTAGAAGTACTCAGATCTTGTACTTGAGTAAAAGTAGAAGTACCAGAGTGTAGTAATACTATGTTACAAGTAAAAGTAGCATAAAATGGAAATACTCAAGTAAAGTACAAGTGCCTCAAAATTGTACTTAAGTACAGTACTAAGTAAATGTACGTAGTTACTTGGCTCTAATGAATGTGTTTTAATGTTGTCATCTCTCCAGTCGTCGCTGTGTGGGTATCAGATCCGGATGGAGAACAGGTCGGCGGAGGGGACCCGCCTCCTGTACTGCACCACAGGGGTCCTGCTGAGGAAACTGCAGCACGACTCACACCTCAGCTCCCTCACACACATCATCGTGGACGAGGTACACACACTTACTATGAGACAGTTTTAAAAAGAGACCTCTCTGACCTCAGATGCATGTGATGGGGTTTCTTAAATGACGTTTAACAACTATTCTTTTGTGGGTGTTTTAGTTTATTTGCTAGTTTTGACTTCTTATTACACACACTAACACTAACCTTTTGCTATCATCTAATCCCTAACTATACAGAAAATCAAGTATATTTAAGCAATAGCTCACGACAGGCCGTGGTATATGCTCATTATATCACAGCTAAGGGGCGTGGTTCGGCCCGACGCGAAGCGGAGGGTCGAACCACGCCCCTTAGCTGTGATATAATGAGCATATATCACGGCCTGAAGTGAGCTATTGCTTTTATAAAACGGTTACCAAGTGTGGCAATATGAAAGAAAAATACACACTCTAATTTAAATAGTTGTTATTATTAAATAATGATGTTCAAAATAAAATAGTCCCCCCGTTGCCTTCTGCACAAAACATAGTGCGAGGTGGTTGCTATGCAACAACACTAACAACAGCTAGCGAACATATTAGACAGAGAGCGTTGATCCATTATTTGGCTATTTATTTACATTAATGTGTATGTTGCCGTTTATTGTGCACCCACTGAAAAACTGTCCAGCATCAGTAGCATGGCTTACGTGGTTATAGGCTGAGGTTGTTCTAGGCTGTTGCTTGGCGTGGCGAGAATATTGCTCCACTTTCTCCGGTCCCCGAGATTCGGCTTCCAGTAGCTCTGGAGAGAGCTTTCGCACCTGTGGCCACTAACGGTCATCATTTCTCTGCTTTGTTTCAAGACCCGCATCAGAAAGCTTTTGAATGGTGATACTTTTCCAGTTGGTCGACCTGCTCTTCACGTAGCTCTACATGTCGTCGTTTAGGTGCTTTTTGTTCTGGAGATAGGCACTCGCACTCCTCAATCCACTCCTCCATAGTAAGACCCCCCCCCCCCGGAGGTCGAAGTTAATCTTAAATGTTTTTGCGGACCTTTTTGATTACAGATTTGAAAACATCGTTGCTCGCTTTAAAAGTAGCACAATTCATTATGTCAAACCTTGGAAAGTATCTAAATATCCCTGCCCTAATGCCAAAGGAACTGCACACTGAATATGTTTTTGCCGTTTGATGTCTATGTCTGGACCGCTGCGTAAAAAGGAGGGTTTCTGCCCCGTTACTTCTCCGCTGCTTTCTTGTTCCAGTTTGAAAAGCAAACTGCAGGCAGTTTGCTTTTCAGCCCAACTGTATACTGTTTATCTCAGACGCGGAGGGATACTGAGTTGTTGTGAAAAGTAACTTACAATTCTACCCGTGGTATACGCTCAGTATACCACGGCTAAGAACCAATCAGATTGCTTGATTTTACTTGTCCGTTTTATAATAAAACCTTATTTCATTTCTTAACTATAATTCCCTGGTACGCCTGTTCCCCCCCCCAAGGTGCACGAGCGCAGCGTGCAGTCGGACTTCCTGCTGACCATCCTGAAGGACGTGGTGATGAAGCGTTCGGACCTGAAACTGATCCTGATGAGCGCCACGGTCGACTGCAACAAGTTCTCCTCGTACTTCAACCGCTGCCCCGTCATCAGCATCCCCGGGAGGACCTTCCCCGTGGAGGTGAGGGGGGATTCACTTTATATATACTTAGAAAGTCACCTATTATGCAAAATCCACTTGTTCACGTCTCTTCTACATCAACATGTGTCCCCTCTTCTTCATGTCTCTTCTACATCAACATGTGTCCCCTCTTCTTCATGTCTCTTCTTCATCAACATGTGTCCCCTATTCTTCATGTCTCTTCTTCATCAACATGTGTCCCCTCTTCTTCATGTCTCTTCTTCATCAACATGTGTCCCCTCTTCTTCATGTCTCTTCTTCATCAACATGTGTCCCCTCTTCTTCATGTCTCTTCTTCATCAACATGTGTCCCCTCTTCTTCATGTCTCTTCTACATCAACATGTGTCCCCTCTTCTTCATGTCTCTTCTACATCAACATGTGTCCCCTCTTCTTCATGTCTCTTCTACATCAACATGTGTCCCCTCTTCTTCATGTCTCTTCTACATCAACATGTGTCCCCTCTTCTTCATGTCTCTTCTACATCAACATGTGTCCCCTCTTCTTCATGTCTCTTCTTCATGTCTCTTCTTCATCAACATGTGTCCCCTCTGTGGAAAGAGACTCTGAAAGTTTCAGGAACAAAGATTCTCTCTCTTTTTGTCCTGATCCATTTCTATAAAAACCTGTCTGAAAATGAGCTGATCAGATTTTGGCCACTTTATGATGTCATAACGATGTTTTGTCTTGTGTAACCATTAGCCAATCACCAACCAAGGTAACCCCCCCCCCCCCCCCCCCCCTTATCACCTGAATCTCCTCCTAGAGCACCATTGAGTTCTTTGTAACCAAATCTCTCTCAGAGGGGCGTGGGGAGGGGCTCCTTATTTTCATCTAAAGTAACAGACAGAGAATCAGCACTTTGGAAACAGGGCTGAAACAGAGGGGATTATGGGATGCTGCAATGATCTGTTTGGTGTTTCAGCCAATCAGAGACAGGCTCTGGATGTAACTGAGACCTGTGATATATTGATGAGAAACAGTATGATAGGAGATCTTTAAAGTGGAAATAACAGAGATATCTACAGAGCTGAATCCAGATCAGATGTTATGTTAAATGTTTGTTGTTTGTTTTTCATGTATTGTGTCTGTTGATGTTACATCTGACCTTTAAAGTATCATCGTATCGTATCGTATAAGAGATAGGGCACGTCTGAGTATTTTTGGTTTACGATTAGGCTACGAAGGGCTAGAGCTGCCAATATAATACATATATAAACGATTGAACTCAGCACCTGTAACATTTAAATGGGATTATTAAAGTATTACTGATTCTGATATGACAGTAAGTAATCGTCCATTAAAGAAATCCCTTTTATTTTCCAAAAAAGCTGCACATTAGGCTGATCGTTGAGGCTTTTATTTCTCCATTTATTTATTTATTGTAAATGCACCTAAGGACATTTTTAAGTCTTCTTTTTGTCTCCAGGTGTCTCACTTAGAGGACATAGTGGAGGAGACCGGCTACCTCTTGGAAAAAGACTCGGAGTACACTCAGAAAATCCTTGAAGACGAGGAGGAGGTGAACATCTCCTTCAGTCAGAAAGGAGGGAAGACGTCTCAGCACCAGGTACCGTCTGCTTTTATACACTTTTATACACAATATACTGTTTTCACAAATACTTTATACCGGCACAAATACATGTAAATATATTTCATATGTATACATCTTTATTTATTTATATAGCACATTTAATCTCTCTGATCTTGTACTTAAGTAAAAGTAGAAGTACTCAGATCTTGTACTTGAGTAAAAGTAGAAATACTCAGATCTTGTACTTAAGTAAAAGTAGAAGTACTCAGATCTTGTACTTGAGTAAAAGTAGAAGTACTCAGATCTTGTACTTGAGTAAAAGTAGAAGTACTCGGATCTTGTACTTGAGTAAAAGTAGAAATACTCAGATCTTGTACTTAAGTAAAAGTAGAAGTACTCAGATCTTGTACTTGAGTAAAAGTAGAAGTACTCAGATCTTGTACTTGAGTAAAAGTAAAAGTACTCAGATCTTGTACTTGAGTAAAAGTAGAAGTACTCAGATCTTGTACTTGAGTAAAAGTAGAAGTACTCAGATCTTGTACTTGAGTAAAAGTAGAAGTACTCAGATCTTGTACTTGAGTAAAAGTAGAAGTACTCAGATCTTGTACTTGAGTAAAAGCAGAAGTACCAGAGTGTAGGAATACTCTGTTACAGTAAAAGTCCTGCATTCAAAATGTTCCTCAAGTAAAAGTAGAAAAGTATTATCATCAAAATATAGTGAAAGTAGCGACAGTAAAAGTAGTCGTTGTGCAGATTGGTCCATTTCAGAATAATATATATGATATGTTTTATAATGATTGATCATGAAAGTGTGTGTGTGACCTCTCTGCCTCCAGGAGTTCATATTGAGCCCCTCCTCAGGCTGGGATCTGGGTCCTGATCTGGATCACTTCAGCAGTCGCACCCGGCAGGTTCTGCAGTACATGAACCCCAACAAGATCAACATGGACCTGCTGGTGGACCTCATCGCATATCTGGGTACCAATCATCATCATCATCATCATCATCATCATCATCATCATCATCACTATATCATCAATAGTACACATTAATGCAACTTATTTTACGACTTTATTTGCTTTGATAATTAAGATCTTTGTATACAAAAAATAGTTTAAAAGATATGATGGTTTGTTATGAATTAAACTAGCCAACAGTTTATCAAAGGACAGCTTTTATAAACCTATCCAGAGATGTGAAAAGTACACACATCCTTTACTCAAGTAGAAGTAAAGATACTCGTGTTTAAAAATACTCTGGTGAAAGTAGAAGTACTGACTAAACTTCTTTACTCAAGTAAAAGTAAAGAGGGCTTTGAAATGTACTTCAGTAAAAAGTACCCATAACTAGCAGCTGTTTTAAAGAGTACCTGACCTCCCTTTATATTAATAGAACAATAATGTCATTGTTAGCTAATGAATGTTTCCATGCTGAACAACGGCAACATGACAACGTTTTCATTGGTCCCTCTTCTTTAGAGAAGACCAGGAAATGATGGATACACGGATCGTGTTCAAATCAATAGGCACGCAATGACTCTAAATAATAATGATCACGCCACCAGACACACATTCAAACTAAAGGAACCAGCCTGTTTGGAAAATGTGAGAAGTAGAAAGTACAGGTATTTGGGTTCAACATGTAAGAAGTAGAAAGTACAGGTATTTGTGTTCAACATGTAAGAAGTAGAAAGTACAGGTATTTGTGTTCAACATGTAAGAAGTAGAAAGTACAGGTATTTGTGTTCAACATGTAAGAAGTAGAAAGTACAGGTATTTGGGTTCAACATGTAAGAAGTAGAAAGTACAGGTATTTGTGTTCAACATGTAAGAAGTAGAAAGTTCAGGTATTTGTGTTCAACATGTAAGAAGTAGAAAGTACAGGTATTTGTGTTCAACATGTAAGAAGTAGAAAGTACAGGTATTTGTGTTCAACATGTAAGAAGTAGAAAGTTCAGGTATTTGTGTTAAAAATGTAAGAAGTCAAAGTAAAAAGTCGTCGGAGTAAAGTACTGATACCAGAAAAATGTACTTAAGTACAGTAACGAAGTATTTGTACTTCCCACCTCTGAACATATATAAATGTTAAATATCTGTAATTCTTTGTGCTCTACAGATAAGTCCCCTCAGTTTGCAGAGATGGACGGAGCGGTGCTCGTGTTCCTCCCGGGTCTCGCTCACATCCAGCAGCTGTTCGACCTGCTGACCTCCGACAAGAGGTTCAGGGACAAGAACAGGTGACACGCACGCACGCACGCACGCACGCACGCACGCACGCACGCACGCACGCACGCACGCACACACACACACACACACACACACACACACACACACACATACCATGTATACATCACTTCAGGGGACATTACATTGACTTACATGCATTTCCTGGAGACTTATCCTAACCTTAACCATAACCAACACATGCCAAACCCTAACCCTAACCCTAAACCAAGTCTTCACCCTAAAATTAATGATTCCCCTTATTGGGACCTCCATTTTGTCCCCATAAGGGAGGCGAGTCCCCACACGTGACTGTGTAAACAGATTTAGGTCCCCACAAGTATAGTAATGCTAGGACACACACACGCACACGCACGCACACACGCACACACACACACACACCCCCCTGATTACACTTACTTACTTTAACCTAAGTAACATTTTAAATGCATGACTTGAAGTGAAGTATCTGATTACTTCTTCTTCTTCTTCTCTGTCTTCAGGTTCAAGATCGTCGGTCTGCACTCGACTCTCTCCTCTAAAGACCAGGCTGCTGCCTTCACAGTGCCCCCTGCTGGAGTCAGAAAGGTACTACATGCTATATATCATTGATAAAAAGGAAAATACATCAATAAGGGTAATGTAGATAAACCTTTATAGGTATAATCATTTGAGGAAATGTATGACTGAATGCTTTGTGTCTCTTTAGATTGTGTTGTCAACGAACATTGCAGAAACAGGCGTCACCATTCCTGACGTCGTGTTTGTCATCGACACCGGAAAGACTAAAGAAAACAAGTAAGCAAACCAATACATTGCATATTAAAGTATCGATGGATTATTATCTTCTTTCATTAAGTCATGGCTCATTTCAACATGTGTTCCCCTGTCTCCTGATTTAAATGTTAGCCTCTGAAAGCAGATCATGCAGAAAAAGAAGTGTCCTAATGTCTGTCCCTAAAGAAGAGTAATGTAGTGAAACATGTCTAAAAAAACTAAGATATTTTCTTTAGCTAAATATCATCTTTTCGGGGCTGCTGTGCTGAAGCATGCTCAGATCTTCAGATAACTTCACCTAAAAGCTTAAAAGTGCTGCTTTATTGTACTTAAAAGTGTTAACTGAAGAATGACATGAAGGGAAAGTCAGTGGATCAACAAGATCCTGATCTAAGGACAATAGAAATCTGAAATAAATGTCTCTTAATCGGGATTGCAGTAATATTAAATAAGACCTTTTCAGGTTCATAATAGTATTTTGTGTCTCAACTGTGACATGTTCCTATGCTTTAATGTTCAAAAAGATCTTTATTTGAGCCTTTTCAAACCATTTAAATGCAGAAACACCTATAACAAACTAAAGGAAAGGCAAAACCACAAAAAAGCATAGTAGAGCCCGTTTAAAAACATCACTCAAGTGTAACTCTTATTTCCTGTGTGGCGTTCAGGTACCATGAGAGCAGTCAGATGAGTTCCCTGGTGGAAACGTTTGTCTCCAAAGCCAGCGCCCTCCAGAGGCAGGGCCGAGCGGGACGCGTCCGCAACGGATTCTGCTTCAGACTCTACCCCAAGTTCAGGTGAGGAAACACTAAATAGTTGAACAACAAAGCGGGAAAATCCTGAATGTAATCTTCCAATATCAGAGTCCACATGATAACAAAGGTTTCCCAACTGTAGCTGTGAACATGACAGGATGTCTGATTACCTAGAAGAGCATCAGGACTGTTTGAGGCATGTGATAGCTATGTGATTAACATGATGATTCAGCCTCTATGGAGATAGACATATGACAAGCATGATCATTTCTGACGTGGAGCTAATCTGAAGTAAACATTGAATACTGCTTTCTATTCCTCCATCTTGTGACTGTGTAACTCCCTATCTTGGATATCAGCATGTGAAGGACTCTGCTTTGTGTCTCAGGTTTGACTCCTTCATGGATTACTCGATTCCAGAGATTCTGAGGGTCCCACTGGAAGAGCTCTGCCTGCATATCATGGTATTTAAAACCTCTTTAAAGTAGAGACACTACATACTGATATACACCTGAACATCAGCAGGAGAGGACTCTTTAAAGTAGAGACACTACATACTGATATACACCTGAACATCAGCAGGAGAGGACTCTTTAAAGTAGAGACACTACATACTGATATACACCTGAACATCAGCAGGAGAGGACTCTTTAAAGTAGAGATGCTACATACTGATATACACCTGAACATCAGCAGGAGAGGACTCTTTAAAGTAGAGACACTACATACTGATATACACCTGAACATCAGCAGGAGAGGACTCTTTAAAGTAGAGACACTACATACTGATAAACACCTGAACATCAGCAGGAGAGGACTCTTTAAAGTAGACACTACATACTGATATACACCTGAACATCAGCAGGAGAGGACTCTTTAAAGTAGAGACACTACATACTGATATACACCTGAACATCAGCAGGAGAGGACTCTTTAAAGTAGACACTACATACTGATATACACCTGAACATCAGCAGGAGAGGACTCTTTAAAGTAGAGACACTACATACTGATATACACCTGAACATCAGCAGGAGAGGACTCTTTAAAGTAGAGATGCTACATACTGATATACACCTGAACATCAGCAGGAGATGACTCTTTAAAGTAGAGACACTACATACTGATATACACCTGAACATCAGCAGGAGAGGACTCTTTAAAGTAGAGACACTACATACTGATAAACACCTGAACATCAGCAGGAGAGGACTCTTTAAAGTAGACACTACATACTGATATACACCTGAACATCAGCAGGAGAGGACTCTTTAAAGTAGAGACACTACATACTGATATACACCTGAACATCAGCAGGAGAGGACTCTTTAAAGTAGAGACACTACATACTGATATACACCTGAACATCAGCAGGAGAGGACTCTTTAAAGTAGAGACACTACATACTGATATACACCTGAACATCAGCAGGAGAGGACTCTTTAAAGTAGAGACACTACATACTGATATACACCTGAACATCAGCAGGAGAGGACTCTTTAAAGTAGAGAAACTACATACTGATATACACCTGAACATCAGCAGGAGAGGACTCTTTAAAGTAGAGACACTACATACTGATATACACCTGAACATCATCAGGAGAGGACTCTTTAAAGTAGAGACACTACATACTGATATACACCTGAACATCAGCAGAAGAGGACTCTTTAAAGTAGAGACACTACATACTGATATACACCTGAACATCATCAGGAGAGGACTCTTTAAAGTAGAGACACTACATACTGATATACACCTGAACATCAGCAGAAGAGGACTCTTTAAAGTAGAGACACTACATACTGATATACACCTGAAAATATGTCCTTTTTAAACGTGTTTTCTCTCCTTTCTGGTAGAAATGTCAGTACGGTTCCCCGGAGGAGTTCCTGAGTCGAGCTCTGGATCCTCCTCAGCCTCAGTCGGTCTGTAACGCCGTCAGCCTGCTGAGGAAGATCGGAGCGTGTCACCCCGAGAAACACATCCTCACCCCGCTGGGTCACCACCTCGCCTCCCTGCCCGTCAACGTGAAGATCGGGAAGATGCTGATCTACGGAGCCATCCTCGGCTGCTTGGAGCCCATCGTACGTTTCCTCCATACTTTACCTTTAGGGCTGTCAAACTCAATTTAAAGGTCACCTATTGTGCAAAATCCACTTCTTCATGTCTCTTCTACATCAACATGTGTCCCCTCTTCTTCATGTCTCTTCTACATCAACATGTGTCCCCTCTTCTTCATGTCTCTTCTACATCAACATGTGTCCCCTCTTCTTCATGTCTCTTCTACATCAACATGTGTCCCCTCTTCTTCATGTCTCTTCTACATCAACATGTGTCCCCTCTTCTTCATGTCTCTTCTACATCAACACGTGTCCCCTCTTCTTCATGTCTCTTCTACATCAACATGTGTCCCCTCTACTTCATGTCTCTTCTACATCAACATGTGTCCCCTCTTCTTCATGTCTCTTCTACATCAACATGTGTCCCCTCTTCTTCATGTCTCTTCTCCATCAACATGTGTCCCCTCTTCTTCATGTCTCTTCTCCATCAACATGTGTCCCCTCTTCTTCATGTCTCTTCTACATCAACATGTGTCCCCTCTTCTTCATGTCTCTTCTACATCAACATGTGTCCCCTCTTCCTCATGTCTCTTCTACATCAACATGTGTCCCCTCTTCCTCATGTCTCTTCTACATCAACATGTGTCCCCTCTTCTTCATGTCTCTTCTCCATCAACATGTGTCCCCTCTTCTTCATGTCTCTTCTACATCAACACGTGTCCCCTCTTCTTCATGTCTCTTCTACATCAACACGTGTCCCCTCTTCTTCATGTCTCTTCTACATCAACATGTGTCCCCTCTTCTTCATGTCTCTTCTCCATCAACATGTGTCCCCTCTTCTTCATGTCTCTTCTACATCAACATGTGTCCCCCTCTCTTCATGTCTCTTCTACATCAACATGTGTCCCCTCTTCTCATGTCTCTTCTACATCAACACGTGTCCCCTCTGTTCTTCATGTCTCTCTCTACACATCAACACGTGTCCCCTCTTCTTACATGTCTCTTCTACATCAACACGTGTCCCCTCTTCTTCATGTCTCTTCTACATCAACACTGTCCCCTCTTCTTCATGTCCTCTTCTACATCAACAACACGTGGTCCCCTCTTCTTCATGTCTCTTCTACATCAACACGTGTCCCCCTCTTCTTCATGTCTCTTCTACATCAACACGTGTCCCCCCTCTTCTTCATGTCTCTTCTACATCAACACGTGTCCCTCGTCTTCATGTCTCTTCTTACATCAACACGTGTCCCCTCTTCTTCATGTCTCTTTACATCAACATGTGTCCCCTCTTCTCCATGTCTCTTCTCATCAACATGTGTCCCCTCTTCTTCATGTCTCTTCTACATCAACATGTGTCCCCCTCTTCTTCATGTCTCTTCTTCATCAACATGTGTCCCCTCTTCTTCATGTCTCTTCTCCATCAACATGTGTCCCCTCTTCTTCATGTCTCTTCTACATCAACATGTGTCCCCTCTTCTTCATGTCTCTTCTACATCAACATGTGTCCCCTCTTCTTCATGTCTCTTCTCCATCAACATGTGTCCCCTCTTCTTCATGTCTCTTCTACATCAACACGTGTCCCCTCTTCTTCATGTCTCTTCTACATCAACACGTGTCCCCTCTTCTTCATGTCTCTTCTACATCAACACGTGTCCCCTCTTCTTCATGTCTCTTCTACATCAACACGTGTCCCCTCTTCTTCATGTCTCTTCTACATCAACACGTGTCCCCTCTTCTTCATGTCTCTTCTACATCAACACGTGTCCCCTCTTCTTCATGTCTCTTCTACATCAACACGTGTCCCCTCTTCTTCATGTCTCTTCTACATCAACACGTGTCCCCTCTTCTTCATGTCTCTTGTACATCAACATGTGTCCCCTCTTCTCCATGTCTCTTCTCCATCAACATGTGTCCCCTCTTCTTCATGTCTCTTCTACATCAACATGTGTCCCCTCTTCTTCATGTCTCTTCTTCATCAACATGTGTCCCCTCTTCTTCATGTCTCTTCTCCATCAACATGTGTCCCCTCTTCTTCATGTCTCTTCTTCATCAACATGTGTCCCCTCTGTGTAAAGAGACTCTGAAAGTTTCAGGAACAAAGATTCTCTCTCTTTTTGTCCTGATCCATTTTTATAAAAACCTGTCTGAAAATGAGCTGATCAGATTTTGGCCACTTTGCCAATCAGCAACCAAGGTAACCCCCCCCCCCACCTTATCACCTGAATCTCCTCCTAGAGCACCATTGAGTTCTTTGTAACCAAATGTCTCTCAGAGGGGCGTGGGGAGGGGCTCCTTATTTTCATCTAAAGTAACAGACAGAGAATCAGCACTTTGGAAACAGGGCTGAAACAGAGGGGATTATGGGTAATGCTGCAATGATCTGTTTGGTGTTTCAGCCAAACAGAGACAGGTTCTGTATATATATCTGAGACCTGTAATATATTGATGAAAAACAGTATAATAGGAGACCTTTAAGGCTGCAAATAATAATAATAATGTTTTTGTTTCAGGCCACCATCGCCGCAGCCATCTCAGAGAAGTCTCCGTTCTCCACGCCGATGAACAGGAAGGAGGAAGCTAACCTCGCTAAAGCTGCGCTCGCTGTGTCCAACTCTGATCACCTGACCATCTACAACGCATACCTCGGGTACAGATCTATACTTTGATTTTGTAGAGTTTTTCTACAGAAGAACTGTACAGAAGGGAAATACAATACAGCTCCATTTCAATCAGGAGAGACTTTGTTTTGATGTTATCAGTAGTTAGCTTTTTGTCACCTTCCCAGTATTCCTATGAAAAGAGAGAGCATCAACAGATCATCAATAAGGATTACCCTCAGGTCCTGAAAATATATTAAAATGACCGTTAATCTAAAATATTTATCCAGCAAGTACTTATACAAACACAGCGTGAGCCTGTTAAGCAAATCATCTCCTTCTGCTTTCTGATGATCTGTTTCAAACGTTTTATTTGTCATATGCACAATAGCTACAGCAGAGTTTTGGCATTGAATCTGAAGTCTCAGGCACCTCCAAAAAGAAAATATACAATATACCTAAGACATAAAAGAGAAAATACCATTAATGAAATGCTGGAAAAGTCATGATGTTGCAGGAATATGGAGAATATAGAGATATAAGATCAGATAAAAGAATCTAATATGAAATGAAATGTCTTGTCTCACTGTCAGGTGGAAGACCTCTCAGAGTGACGGACAGAGAGCAGAGACGTCGTACTGCAGGAAACACTTCCTCAACAGAACTGCTCTCATCACCATAGAGGTAACACACACACACACACACACACACACACACACACACACACACACACCACACACACACACACACAACACCCACACACCACACATACACACACTGTGTTTCACTGCTGGAGAAACGGCTCACCAGCCTCAGGCTCCATTATTGATCTTAGCAAGAGATGCCTTTTTCAGATTGTACAAGTGCAGCTTTTTCAGCTCTGGTTTCATCTGATTTTTCTTAATCCTACAAATAAATAAAATATGATATAAAAACATGAAAATATCTTGTTTCAGAAAAATAATTTATATATTTATAATTAAAAAAAGCAAAAGACAGAGATTTTCACTTTTGTCCTTTTAGTTCTTTTATTAACAAGAAAAACCCCAACATTACAAAATATACAGACATGTGGCACTCGACCTGTTGGCTGTTCTTTTATATGACTTTTATTTTCATTTGTTTTGTTACATTATTCAAACTTTCATTTATGCATTCAACACATTTAGACTTAGTTACAAATTAAAAACCTTTAGAATCAAATATCTCCAATGAAAGAAGCTCTGGTGCTTTCTCTCTAAAGACTCACTTTACAAGAGAAACAACAACACACAAATACATCAATATCCATATTCAACACATTTTTAAATCATGAACACACGTCTCTGTTAAACACATACAAGACTACAAATACAATTTAACAGAGTAAAAGGCAATCAGAGTATAAGACTATATGTTTTAAATGATTATATGATCATTTAACACGACACAGAACAACTCGTGAGAAGATGTTAAAGCACATCCCATCATGTTTGATTGACAGCTGATCTCTGTGCAGTGAAGACATGAGCAATCAGCTCTCAGCAACAATGATGGACACACGGTGAGCTTAAGAAGTAGAAGAGTTCCTCAAATGACTTCAGGCTATTTCAGTTTACAAAACTCAGCTGTGTCTTCATAATGATTACAAAGCCGAACTCCAGCATGTAGCGGCTGAGTGAATGTGGTCTGCACTCTGTGGAGGAGAGTCATGGTTTCAGAGACGATGCTGTAGAAGGACAGAACACCTGCTCTGTGATCCAGGTACACTCCTACTCTGGAGGACAGAGGACCTGAGACGGGAGTGAGGATACTGTTGTAATAAAATGTATAACTGTTTTGGTTACAAAATAAGGACCAAGATTTGTTATTTAATCCAAATCCACATTCATTCCCTGCTCTGATGATATTCTTGTATGCGACTGCTACATGAACTCCTAACCCTCTCTGCTCCACCTCCCAGTAACAACGTCCAGTCAGACTCTCTCTACTCAGGACCTGAGAACCTCCAGTGAATCTGTCTGGGTGACTAGAATAAGGTTGTGGTTGTTTCATGCATGTTGCTTTTCTGCTCCCCTCAGATAATAACATATTTGTGTATGCTGTGTTTGGATCCAGAGTGACTTCCTGTGAATATTGTAAGAACCCAGCTCTGGTGGTGGGCTCTGCTGCTGACAGTAAAACATCCACTTCAGTCGATGAGACGTTTGTCCATTCCTCTCTCAGGACGTCCTGTAGTTTGTCTCTGACTGCTGACAGGGCCGCCGTCACGTCCTCAAAGTAGCTCAGAGGACGGATGTTGGTGCTGGATGAGTGTGTAGGTTCACTGAGGGCTGACAGTGAGGGGTAGCTGTGCAGAAACTGGTTGTGATCCTCTGTGTGAGACAGCAACTTCAGCTCAGCGTCTCTCCTCTTCAGCTCAGAGATCTCCTGCTCCAGCTTCTCCTGAAGCTCTTTGACTCGACTCACTTCTCTCTTCTGCTGGGATCTGACCTGTTGCTTCACATCAGAGCTTCTTTTCTCCATGAGACGGATCAGCTCAGTGAACATCTTCTCACTGTCCTCCACTGCTTTATCAGCAGAGCCATTGACGGCCTCCACCTCCTGCTGAAGCAGCTTCACCTCCTTCTCTCTGTCCTGGATTCCCAGCTGGATGTTTAGTCGACTCCCCTCCAGCTCTCTCTGCCTCTCAGTCCTCTCTGCTGCAGCTAACACTGTGTCGTGGCCTTTGTGTTCGTCCATAGTGCAGATATAACAGATACACTGCTGATCAGTGCGGCAGAACAGCTTCATCACCTCGTCGTGACGAGAGCAGATGTTCTCCTGGAGCTTCTTGGAGGGCTCCACCAGCTTGTGTTTCTTTAATTGAGCTACGTCATAATGAGACTGGAGGTGTTTCTCACAGTAAGATACAAGACACACGAGGCAGGACTTACAGGCTCTCAGTTTCCTCCCAGTGCAGACATCACAGGCCACATCTTCAGCTCCAGCATAGCAGTGATCAGTAGGAGCAGCTTGGAGTCCAGTCTTCTTCAGCTCCTCCACTAAAGCTGCTAACATGGTGTTTTTCAGCAGGACAGGCCTCGGTGTGAAGCTCTGCCTACACTGAGGGCAGCTGTGGATTAACTCTCCATCCCAGTGGTGTTTAATACACTTCATGCAGTAGCTGTGTCCACAGGGAATAGTGACCGGATCCTTCAGTAGATCCAGACAGATCGCACAAGAGAAGGTTTCCCGGTCCAGCTGAACTCCTTTCTGCGCCATTTCACCTCTCAGTAGCAGCGAGTGTCTGAGTTTCACTTCCTGAGAGCTGAAACTATGTGAGCTGTGATCTGAACAGGATGTGTGTGTGCAGTGAATGTGGCCTATCAGCTCTTGTGCTTTACCCACATGTTGGTTACACCCATCCTTCTCAGTGTGGATCTGAAGGGGAGGAACCAGGAAGTATAGAGTGGAGCTGGCTGTGTCTGAGAGCAGGAAGGAGAGGGAGGGCTTATCAAACTCTGAGTCACTCCAGGAGGAGGAGCAGACACTCTGACCTGTTTCCTCATTTACAAACGGAGCCTCGCTCACAACCTGCTCTTCATTTGAAAACAGTCTTCAGCTGTAAAATATTTGTTTTAACTTCAGGCTTTTGTAGCACACAGCTCCACACTCATGGTGACAGTGGTGTAAGAAGTACTCAGATATTCTACTAAAGCAAAAGTAGAAATACTACGGGGTAAAAATACTCTGTTACAAGTAAAAGTACAAAAGCATTGGAATCAACATATACTTAAAGTACCAAAAGCAAAAGTACTCCTTATGCATTATGGCCCTTTTCAGAATCGTATATATATATATATATATATATATATATATATATATATATATATATATATATATATATATATATATATATATGTGTTTTCCATTCCAAATAAAGTGTAGGGGAAATGAGACAGTAACACACAACAGTCAGGGTGAAAGTGAACAGAAGTTTATTTATTCAAATAAATAATCACAGAAAAATGCCAACAAATGTTCTTTAAGTGAGGAGACAAAGAAGATTGTGCCAAATTAAATACATGAATATAACAAAACTCAAACAAAAAGCCCTCACTATCTGTTCTACTAACAAGGAGACAAAACAACTACAGGGTGGCAACAATCTACTAACCTAGTGTGTCTTCACGGATACGAAAATGAACCGAATTCGATAACAAAAAAGTCTTCCGTCCTCACGAGACCGCTCGACCCGCTGGAGACGCTGTAGTACATATGCCGGGCCTGTAAGTGGCGCTGTACTTCCGCCACAAAATACACCAAAAGCAGCGAATAAGACCCCCGAGCATGGTTGCCTGGTTGTCATGGTTGCCCTTCTGTTTATTCTCCGTGGTGGATTGAGCAACATGTAGTTCATGTAGTTCTCCATGTCCACTTGTTGCTGATGGTTGTGGTAGAGGAGCTGTAGGTTTTGCACTAACATCTGTAGCATGGTCAGTAGCGTCTGGAGCACGAAAGCAAACCTGTGATCCGCCATCGTTGTTGTTGTTGTTGGCGAAACACATCAGCGATGACGCGGGTGACGCGGGGGTGAGCAGGAGAGGCGGGGCTATGGCATCATCGTTATCAGGAAATGATCATATAGGGCGTACACACGGAGCCGTTTGGCCCCCCAGAGTGTTGCGTCCACAGATCTACCCACCTTGGGAGCCGTTATCACAGGGCTATCGGATTCGGGCCTCGCGTGGACGAACCGTCTACGATATAGAACTGTCGCGGATTCCGCTGATATCGTCTCCGTGTGGACGGGGTCTATCAGAGTTTACCTACGTGAGGAGAGGTAGAGGGTACCCCAAACTTACCCAAATCCTCCACTTCCCACCACACACACATTTAACAATACTAAAAACAAGAAGACAGAATAATGACCAAATCTCTCAGAGACCACAAAGAGGCTCTGGAGTCAGCAGCAGGTCTGAGAGAGCGAAGGCTTCCTGGATCGCCTCCTTTAATGACCGGCCCTGGCTACCTTCTTATATGGAAATAAAACACTAATAGAAAAATATAATGTCTTTGATAATTCACTATAACTAAGTTCTAAATGTGTCCTCTGTTAAGATGTTGAATTAACACCAGAATTGAATAAATTAATACATTATTTCTGATAGCAGTATGTGAAATTATATCTGTAGCTATATTTTAACAGTTTGATTACCTGGTTTACCACACACACACACACACACACACACACACACACACACACACACACACACACACACACACACACACACACACACACACACACACTGTAATATCTCCTCTTCTTGCAGGGGGTGCAGCAGGAGTTGATGAGGATGATGGAGCAGGTGGGTTTCTACTCCCCTCGCTCCAGACTGCAGGCTCCAGCGCTCTCTAAGCCTCAGATCTCGGTTCTGAACGCGGTGCTGGCGGCCGGTTTGTACGACAGCGTGGCCCGCGTGCTGGTCATTCCCTCCGTGGACGTGCTGGAGCGGGCTGTGTGCAACACGGAGACCCCCCAGGGAAGAGCTCAGGTCCACCCCTCCTCTGTGAACAGAAACCTGCAGACACACGGCTGGCTGCTCTACCAGGAGAAGGTACACATCCCAGGGTCAAGATGTAGTGACAGATGATACATTTGAGAATATACAACAACAAATAGTGTAGTGTAGAAATGGCAATTACATTCTTCTGACCTGAGAAGTCAAAGTAAAAAGTCGTCAGGAAAATAAGTCGTGGAGTAAAGTACTGATACCAGAAACATGTACTTAAGTACAGAAACCAAGTATTTGTACTCCACTACTTCCCAGGTCTGTATACATGTAAATAGAATATGATATGTACAATAACAGAATATGAAATTAAATAATGTACATTAAGACAAAATGAAATGTTGGTCCTCAGGTGAAATACACCAAGATCTACCTGAGAGACACGACTCTGATCCCCCCGTTCCCTCTGCTGCTGTTCGGAGGAGACATCGACATCCAGCACCGAGAGAGACTCATCACTCTGGACGGATGGATCCACTTCCAGGTCAGCGCTCTCACATAATGGCCCAATTCCAAACCGCCC